GTAGTCGTCGATTGAGTGGTGTTTGTGGTGTCGGACGACATGTTTCCCACATTTCGCCACTCGTTTACAACCAATGATTGGTATCCGTAATAATTAAATGACAAGTACCGAAACCAATCTAACCACCTTGGTAGTGTGCTAAATATAGATAATTGATCAGTAAGTAACATTTATCGCCCAATTAACGGTATAATATTAAATAAATTACCCGATGTTAATAAAAAATCCTCCTAATACATTCAATGGCACCAAAAGTGCTCCCAGTATTGCATTGGCTGTCATAATGTCCGGACATAATGTCGATATTAAGAATCCTATATTTATTTTAATTACAATAAACAATTAATAATTATTATTTAAACAATTTTATTTAAATAATGCATTTAAAATTATGTTTTCTAAAAAATGTATAATATAATTAAATTTAATATGAATTATCAAGCTAAATGTTAATTTATTAACTTAATAATATTTACCTTAAGTTTCTACAATATTATTCTTAACCTTATATATCTATGTTTTAGTCAAGATTAGTCAAAATGGTTTAAATTGTCAAGTAGAATTTGATTCCCTTAATTATACAGATAATTATTTTAATAATAATTTATTACCAAAATTCCAGCAACAAATTGTGGCCAAGATAATAACACCAAGGTAAATGAAAAATGCTTGTGTACTCAGATATAAACCAACGATGAAATACAAAATGGTTACAAAAATCTATAAGTCATAACTTGGATATCGGTTGACAAGTTATTTTATATATTACAATTATCAAAGCATTATGTACATATTATACTGTTACTTATATTGAATTGTTCAGATAGATATAAAGATAATTAGTATTCATTTTTCATAGCTTACGAATAAAGCATAAATTATAAAGAAATGTGAAAGACTGATCAAGTTATTTTCAATCTCATAAGTTATACAGTATGCACAATATACATAATTTAATTTGTTAATAATGTTATGTTGACATTTGTAAAATTAATTATATAATACAGTATTGATAATAAATTATATTAATCATAATAAATAAATATTATACTTAAACATTACCTGGGTAATAATGGTCGCCAATATATATGGGAACAAAGCGTACGTACGGTTGTGGTGTTCCCTAAAAAGTAAGGCTTCTTCTCCTATTAATGTCTATAATATAATATTAAATTATGTTTAGTTAGATATAATATGATACATTTTTAAACTATCTATGTAGAAATTAACAATGTAATATTGTGCAGATACAAAACAATATTTTCCAATTTAAAAGCAAAAATCCAAATTGTCAAAAATGTAATGTAAGTGTTATTGAGACATAGTAAGCAATTACTTTAAAAATGAAATAATGGTGCTTACAGTCAGTGCGACCATAGATTCTGCCATTGAAGTTCTCGTTAATATCATATTAAGAGCCCCTTTGATATTATCGACGTTGGAGTAGTCGTATCCCTGTCCGTAGTAAAGTACCCCAAATAATACTGTCATACTCTGTGTGAGAAGCAAATTTGCATAGTTGAAAATTTGTATAAATTACAGTAATTGTATATTAATTTCTAAATCATTACCACCATTACAACAAGCCGAGTTTGTATCAAACGGGGATTCCGCATGAAAACAATGTATGATCGCCATAATACAGTAACCAGTTGTTGCCAATAACCAGCCCTATAGCCCGATCCCAGTGTTGCCAAGTTTAATGGACACATATTATCCATATTATATCCAGAGTTAACTTTATTTGCATTCCATTCGAGATAATTATCACATATTTTCTAAATATTAAGGCAATTTAAATATATATATATATATAAATATCTAATTAAATGCATATTGAAATATTACATTGGTTTTTCTTTTTGTTTGCGCATAATTACTGTCCATTATTGCTATTTTGGGATAAATGATATAAAGTGATTGAAATCTATTAGACATATGAGTAAAACAAACCCAATTCCCGTAAATAATAATCCGATGGATTGTAGGTTTTGGGACAAACCTATTGAAGAAATTTAAAATTTTATATTTAATTAAATAAATATAATTATAATATAAATATTACTAATCCTTGCGATGAAAAGAAATCTTTTGCTTC